GATGAGCCTGCAACCCAAGCATGTGTCCTGATCGGGAATTGAACTGTGACCCCCTGATCCATAGGTTGACACTCAACCATTGAACTACGCCAGCAGAGCACAGTTTCATTTTTTAGTAAAAGTAATGTATATTGTACAATAATGAGGCCATATCATGAAGTCATTGAAGACTATTGTTGACATGGAAGACAAAGTGATCTTTATTTTGGAGGCAGTAGAAAACTTATTTTTAAAGCATGAAATTAAATGCTTAGATTTGTTTCATTGAAAAAAATCTCATTATCCTTTGATAAACTGTCCTTTGAAATATTTTAAGTAAGAGATATTGAAAGACTAAAATACTATCAAGACAGGGAAAACAGGAAGGAAAATACAAACTTAAGAGCCAGGTAAAGAACTTGAGAAACCAATTAGATGTTGGGGTGAGAAAGAAGGAGATATGAATTTTTTTAGTGTTCTAGCTCAAGTACATTGGGTAGATAGTAGTGCAATCTGAGAAAATACATGTGGTCACCACCCAACAAGTCATTCTAAGATTGTTTTGGTTCCTTGATACATTTAAAGAAGATTTATTTTATTGAAGGATTATTTATGTTTGACACTAGAGGCAAAATCTTCAGTTACTTTATTTTTGAGCATCAAAATGAAACTCCCATTAAAGTCGGGTGCAAGAAAAGATATCTGCAGCCACCACTTTAAAAAAAAAAATTTTTTTTCCTGTATGTTCTAGTCAGTGAATTAAAATGAAGAAAACTAAAGAGTTTGAGAGTTATATGTATTGAAAAGGAGATCCAAAGTTTTGTTTATATGTTGTTTTGTTGAGAAAAGATTTGAAAAACTACTAGAAGTAGTGGAAGAATATGAAAAATATGTAAAATGCATAATTTTTCTCTAACCAGCTGTTTCCAATTTGTGCACAGTGAAAAAGAACGCCTTCAACACAGCAAGTCAAACATAAACATCAGAAGTGATCTTAGCAAGAAATGTAGAATAGAAAATTTTTCAAATGTTGATAACATCTGTTTGCTTAATTTAGCTTAATGAAGAAATTAGTGATGTACACTGAAAGTTATGCAAAGGTATTCACAGTGTTATTTAAAATAAGAGATTTTAGAAATATGCCTAACTTTAGGGGCTTGGTTAAGTAAAATGTAGAACATCCGTAAAATAAAATTCCATGTCACCACCAGAATTGCTAAAATTGAAAAGACTGATAGATGTTGGCAATCTGTGGCACAATCAGCACTCTTGCACATTGCTGGTGGGAGTATAAAATGATATATCTACTTCAGAAGAGGATTTGGCAGGTTCTTATAAAACTTGAATACTCAGATTCTATGTCTCAGAAATTCCATTATGAGGTATTTGCCTAGAGAACTGTAAATGTAACATTGCAAAAAGACTTGTACAAGAATGTACAGAGCAGTGTTATTCATAATAACCCCATTTGGAAACAGCCTAGTGTACAATAGGAGTAGATATTACAATAAACTAATTTATGTACTCAGAGTCATACTACTCATAATTACAAGGAACAATATAATTGAACATGCAACAGGAAACTAAGATATTAACTTCTGTCTGAGTGTGGAAAAGAAATTGGCTTTGAGGACTTTAGAATGAGTAATAGGAGCTAAAACATCCAATAATATATCATTTCTGAAAGAAGTCATATATAAAATGCTAATTTAAATCTAAATAATTCAGAATTGTAAATTGTTAACAACAGGCAATTCAGAGATAACTACTAAGTCATGAAAAGATAAATGCCATTTGTTCATGCTTTTCCTTTCTGATATTTGGGGAAAGAATTTCTTATTTGAGAGGTTATGTGTTTTCCTCTAACATCAAAGAGTTAGGTATGTTTTTTAAATAAACTTCAATTTAGCTAAATTTTTTATTTAAAGTATTCATGTTTTTAGCTGGTATCCTTTTGTGCAGTGATTACAGATTGGACTTTTGTTTGAACTAAATTTACCTTAGTCATTTTTAAGTGGGAGCTTCTTTAAAATCCCCTAGACCGTTTTTATTTTATTTCTTAAAAATATGTTTTTATTGATTTCAGAGAGAGGGAGGGAGAGGAGAGAGTGATGGAAAGAGGAATCAGATTGGGCTAATCTGATTTCTCTTGCCATGTCATCTACTGGCAAGAAAAAAACTTGTGAAGGAAGTCAGCCATTCGCTCAACCTTCTAATGGTTATTAGGAAGTAAAATAAGAACTTCTTAAATATAAATGTTTTGTTTTCTAATTGCTGTGAGGGCTTTGGTTTTCATGATCTTTCTCTTAATTAGATACTGCTTGGATGATCAAAAATCTTTAGAAAGAGATGGGGGATTTTCTGAACTTCAGTCTCGTCTTATTCGTTATGAAACTCAAACTACTTGCACCAGAGAGAGTTTTCCGGTACCCACGGTTCTGAGCCCTCTCCCATCTCCTGCGGTTCTGTCCGAGCCTGGAAGCGTCCCTGACGGAGAAGCTTTACAGACTGAACTCCGGACTGAAGCATCCCGGCTAAAAAGGAGATCGAGAGACCTAAACTGCCTGGATCCCAAAAGAAGGTGCTCTTAAGTACACACAAATAGTATCTGGACTGAAAGCATGCTAGTTAGTCCTTAGATGATTTCCCCCCTATAGTAATCTTTCTTATTTTTCAGTTGTTCTCTGTATAGATTTTTAGATCAATTCTTTCATACCACAATTTTGTTTGTATTATGAGCAGTTGATGACTTGCTTATAAGTTATAAAAACAAATGATTTGGAAAAAATACACTTTTGCTTGCTTTATATGCTAATACACAGTCCATTAACACAATGGATTGTAAAGTTTTCCAGCCACGGAACACTGGAGATCTTATGCAATAGATGAAGCAGCTGCGCTGCTCTGTGGAAGAGGGTGTTTGGGGATGCTCTTTATTTCCTCGCCCTCACAGCTCCTGTTTGCAATGGCTGCTTAAAGGGAAGCCATTTTAAAACCGCCGGTGTCAGGCCCGGGCTAGGTAGCTCAGTTGGATAAAACGGTTTACTGGTATACCAAGGTTTTGGGTTTGAGCCCTGGATCAGGGCACATAGAAGAATCAATTAATGAATGCATAAATAAATAACACAGCAAATGGATATTCCCATCTTCCTCTCTCAAGTAAATAAATACCTATTGCTTCATATAAATAAAGATTTAAAGCCTCCATAATATAATAATGCATTATGTGAAATTTTTCTGCATACTTTTTTTTGCTAACTGAATAAAATGTTCAAATACATGAACTTATTTATCTTCAGAATCTTTGTCAACTTTAGGTCTTTGACATCTAAAGAAAATCTTAAATTATTTTTTTTTAATATTTCCAAAAGTATGAAATATATATAAGTGAAATGTTCAAATCTATCTTTTGAACAACTATATTAGAACACTATTTTTCTGATATGAAATAACTAAATTATTTTCATGAGGACTTCACAAACTCATGGGTCTTTTTATACCTAACAAAGCTAAAAAGCAAATTCATTTAGATACTGTATTTTGTGACAGTGTTCTATCTCTGACGCATTACGGAAACAAAGTATATTGTGGCCTATTGGATAGCAGAATTGAAGACTCTGAGACCCTGCCTTGTAAAAGGAAATTTAAGGATGTAGAAAGGTTAAAGCAAGAGTTAGCTTTCTTTGTATTTGTTTTAACTTTTATTTTGCACAGGTAGTTGCATAGGTACACAGAAACCAAACCATAGGTTATGGTTTCTTTGGCAAAAATCATTTAATAAAATGTGTGAGTACTTAACAAATAAGTATTGAGCTTTTAAATAGCACTACCAGGCATTCCCTAGCTGATTTATGTGAGAAATTGTAAATTCATGGGGAGGGCAATAGTAATATTGCTGAAATTGTGTTTTAGTCATTCATTTGAAGAACTAAGAGAGCAACTGCATAATATGAAGTTGTTGGTTGCTTATTTAAGGCGGTAGTAGCAAGAAATTTTGTTTGTTTTTTTGGGTTTATATTTCAAAGGATATAGCTATAACATTTAGGACAGAAAATGGACCTCATTGTTGATTCACTTAATCTATGTTTTTTGTCCCCCCCCCCCCTACAGTAGGCTTGTGAAATCTGAAAGTTCAGATTCTCTTCTTTCTCAGATGAGTGGCAATGCAAATCATCACCACCATGCAGTGACATCCAAAAAGCCACAGCTTGAGAGAGCATTATCTATGACTTGTCCATCTGTACCTGTTCATAGATATAAAACTCCAAGAGTCACTACAAAAGCCAGTTCAGGTCAAAAAAGTGTGCATGAATCAAAAGCACTGAGACAAACTAAGGAGTCAAGATCACAGAAACATACACGGGTAACGTTTTATTTACAATCTCTCTTAATTCTATATAGCAAGCAATTCCTTTAATTCATTTCAAATGTGTGCTTGAAATTTTTATGAATGAAATGGTATCTATAATTTAAAATAATCCAGTGTAAGAAGGGTAATGGGAAAGTGGGTGGCTGGTAAATGAAACAAAATTAGCCACAGATCAATCCTCCTTGATTGTGGTTGATAGAGATTTGTTATAAAATCTTCTCCCTACTTTTCAGAGTTTAAAAATTTCTAATAAAAAAATAAGTAGACTGCCATGTATAGCTTGTATACTCAAATTTCAATTCAGAAGCCACAATTTTAATTGCCTTCTTAAGATACTCCAGTCACTTCTTGCTAGCAGGTATTATCCTGTGACATGTGTGACTTGGTAGACATTTCAGATCTCCTTTCAGTTTTGACTTTAGCATGGCTACATAAATTGTATAAATGTATAGAATTTAACTTCAAAGCTGAAGTAACGTTTGTACCTTTCCCACAAAGTATTAGTCATGTCTTATGTTCTATTGAAGATGTTGAAGGAAGTGGTTGCTGAAACCTTGAAGAAGCACAGTATCACCGAGGCGCATGAGTGCTTCATGGCCTGCAGTCAGCGTCTCTTTGAGATCTCCAAGTTCTACCTTAAGGTACCGTCTCTCCTCTCTTAATGGCAAAATGGAGGTCATGTTCTCATGTTCCTATTTGAAATAATGGTTAGTATTTTTCATAGCGATTGCTTATAACTTGTTGCCAGATTCTTTTAAAAAATGCAGATAGAAAAATTGGAGCTAAAATATTTCAATTTATTTGATTTTAGTCCTCATATATACAAAACCACATTTTAATTGGTATCCTCAATATTTCTTTCATAAGCCTTTGATTAAAGTTGGTAATAAGCTTCAAGAAATATTTAATTAGTCATTTTAATATGCAGTGAAAAGACAACTAGACCCAGTTTCTAGATTTTGGATCCATTATCAACTAGTTGTAAGATACTGGCGAGATTAGGCACCATGTAAATTCAGAAAACTCTCATTTTCTGAATTTACATGATGTGGGAGATTATCTCCAGGGTATAGTTTCAGACTTGTATTGACCACATGTATTAAATTCACCTTCTTTCTAAAATCTCTCCAGATAGATAGTATTCAAGTATAAAAACCCAAGCAAAGAGGAAAGAAAAAAAAAACGTAGACGTGTTTTTCAGTAGATTGTTGAACAAAGTAAATGGAAGTGTAGTGCAGACGAGCAAATGAATCTATGACCTAAATGTCTCCTAGTAGAATACCAGTGAGACACAAACCAATTCAGTTTCCACAGTGTCTGACCTGCTCAGACTCGAAGATACCAGCTCTCATGGAAAGCAAGGGAATTCAGTCAAGTTCTTCAAAGGGAGTTAGGGAACCTTCAACTCATTCGCATGTCCCTCTCTCACAGTGCTAACCTACAAGGTCTATTCCTTTTAGCTTTCTTCCCTACCCCTGACAGGGCAGGAAATAGTCTCTGGAGAAAAAAGAATCAGAGGCTGCATTTTAAAAAAAGCCAACTGGCCCCCGACCCCCCTACTGTGTAAAGCCACCAGTGTATAAACTGCACACAAGACAGAGCTTCCAGTAAGATTTTCAGTGTCTCCTTTCAAAGATGACTGGATAGCCAAGGATTAGCAGATTGCAAAGGAATGCTTCTCACACAAGAAATGTCAAAATATAAAGGATAATCTCAAGTTTATTTACTAATGACTGTTCTCTGTAATTTAATGTGAAAGTTGTAAAATGCTGTATTTTGTTATGTTTAGGATCTTAAAACTTCAAGGGGTCTATATGAAGAAATGAAGAAAACCGCAAATAACAATGTTATACAGGTAAATCAGTTATTCCCACAAAACTACATTCAGTCAAATTTCTGTTGTATTTGAGTGTAGCTTAGTGCTGTTGTCTATACAGTAAGGACACTCTTTGAGATATTTAGTATTAGACTTTGGCCAGCAGATTGCTCTGTGAACAAGAATTTCTATAATGATGCTAAGAAAGAAAAATTTTAAAATAAATCATCCAAAGAGCTGGAAAAATTAATTCATTTTGGTTCACTGATTAAAAAGTTTGGTTTGATTTCTTTCTAGTGACCCTTTGAAAACATTTGAAAAAAATTTTTTAAATTTCCTCATGGCAGAGGAAATTTTCCTCTTTAAACTCTTTTCTTTTTCTTTTTTTTTAATATTTTTTTATTGATTTCAGAGAGTAAGGGAGAGAGAGGGGAGGGGGGGAAAGATAGAAATAGCAATGATGAGAGAGAATCATTGATTGGCTGCCTCCTGCTCACCCCCTACTGTGGATTGAGCCTGCAACCCAGGCATGTGCCCTTGACTGGAATCATACCTGAGGCCCTTCAGTTGTAGGCCTACGCCCTATCCACTAAAACATCTTATTTTAAAATGTTTCAGCTAGGGCTGAAACATTTTAAAATAAAGGTGAGAAAATAGAGCAGAATCCACATTCAATGGGAAGAAGTTATACAATGCAGTGAAAGTCAAACAAAACAAGCTCTCCAGTTAGAAAATAAAACATGTTTTCAAGATAAAATAAGTTTTGAGATTGACATGTTATTTTTCTTTTAAAATTTCTACTGTAGTCTTTTGAAGTTTTAGCAGTATCTTTTTCTGTCATTTATATTTTTAATAGAAATGAACCATAACCATATTTTTTTCTCCTCCTAGGTGATTGAATGGGTATTAGAAAAGACAAGCAAAAAATAGCACAGAATCATTCTCTTTGGACAATTGTTAATTGGGCAAGCTATTACTCACCACTTCCTCTCTTAATTTGAACATTATAAACAAATTTCAAACTTTATTCAAATAATAGATGTTATATCTGTAAGGAATTTCATAAGTAATCCCATATTTATCAATATATAGTTTTAAGGATGCTCAGTTAATCTATTTTTAATTATATATATATATAATAGTTTAATTATATTTTACATTTTTAAAGTTAATATTTGTATATATGTTTTGAACTTTTTACTCTTGGTTATTTAATTATTCCAATAAATAGAAAAAGATATTTCTTTACTTCTTAGTAAATGTCTTTTTTTCTTAGGTCTATTTCAATTATTGAGCCCCAAGTAAGAGAGTGCAAATGACTTTTCTCATGTGTTTTAACAGCATAATTTATTGGACAGCTTCTGATTTAGAAAGTTTTATCAAAAAAATTGAAACAGCCATCTTCTCTTACCCTGCTCCAGCGCCACCACTGGGGACTAGTACTAATGTTTATTTAGGATCAAAAAGTAATGGGCAAAAATAGTGAAAATGAGATAGCAAAGGTGACTCAATACATATTTCCAGAAAAAATATATTTTCCTCATTTTATAATAAGATCAGGAAAAATGCAGAAAGTTCAAAGAAGAGTGAAACAAATTCCAACATTCACCTCATTTATCTTTAGGTAACCTCTGTTAATACTATATGCAATTATTTTAAAAATCTTTTCAAAATTGGGGTCATATGTGTATATGTGTGTTTACAAGTGTTTATGTTAATTTATAGTCTGCTTTTCACTTAACAAAGTATCATGAATTTTATATCATATTGTATATTATTTTAAAAAGTACATAATACAAATGAACCAAAATTTGTTTAATTAGTCCCTTGTTGAAAATATAGACTGATTTTTTTCTATTATAAATAAAACTTTAAGGAACCTTCCTACTACATCATTAATATTTCCTCAATATAACTTTTTTAGGAGTGGGTAATAAGATTTTAGGTAAATATTTCCAAATTTCCTAAGAGATCACTTTGCGTACCCACCAGCAGAGCCCCTGTTTCCTTTACTGGTGACTGAAAATAGAAGTGGGGAAAGCACAATATATATATTGGCCACTCTTTAATTGCTTTTTATTATTTTGAACATTTTTATTTTTCTTACTGGTTTGTAAGGGTTCTTTCTTATCTATTAAGGGTATTAGCTGGTTGTCATTTTGTTGATGGTGTTATTTTGCCCCTGAGAGGACATTAAGCAAGAAATCTGGCAAGCACCACTTGGTATAAGCTAAAACTGGAAGAAGTGCAGCTGCACATGCTTTGGGGCTGTGCTTTAGAGGAGGAACCCAACTGACCTTTATATAAGGTAAGCATGAGAGGGCCCTTGAAAAGTACAGGGGATAGAGAGTATAGGCTGATCTTAGACTTCAGCCTCTCTAGGGAGTTATTTACTGGTGCTGGAAATAATGCTGAAAGCTCACACTCTTTAAAATGAGAAGTTTGGACTGAGACCTTTTTCTTGGAAAAGAGGGCACCACAGGGCACAGCTAGCTCAGCCATGTTATGTAGTGGTGATACATTTGGCAAAACTGGGCCTGTAAGAGAGAGAGAACTTGTATCTAATGGACTTGTGGATCAGTTAAGGTTATCTCAAGTAGAATGTTAAAAGTGTCAGAGGCTATTTTTTGTTTTTGTTTTTAAATATATTTTATTGATTTTTTTTTTTTTTTTTTTTTACAAAGAGGAAGGGAGAGGGATAGAGTTAGAGAAACATCAACGAGAGAGAAACATCGATCAGCTGCCTCCTGCACACCCCCTACTGGGTTTAATTAGTTAATTTGGTCACAATATTCTGTGTTTTAAAAAGCTGCACCCTAGGAAGTATCTTCCCTGTCTGGACCAAATAAAGAGATAAAGATCACGAAATACTGGACTTTGGCCTGTATTGGGAGGAAATGAGCGTACTTTGCATGTAAGAAAATGAAAATAATTGTGACCAAAGAGTGGAATGTGGTAGGTTAAATGTGACCACAAAGCTTTGGGCTTCTCCAATGAGGAGATGGAATCTGTTTCCCTAGTCTAGGGGTGTCGAACTCAATCAGAGAAGGGGCCAAAATCTAAAATCCAGCCTAAATCGCGGGCCGAATGGTTTACTGAACAGTCATAAACTGTCATTGTGATGGAAACGCAGCGGAGTGCAGTGATGACAGCACGGTGCAGGCCACATTGCAAGGCCTGGCGGGACGGATTTGGCCCGTGGGCCTTGTGTTTGACACATGTGCTTAGTCCTTGCAGCTGGGCTGGCAATGTGACTTACTTTAACCATCTATGGTAGCATAAGTGACATGGTGTGAACTAGAAACTTGCAGCTCAAAGACCTTGCAGCTTCTGGTTTGCTCTGCTAGAATCTGGCCTTGACTGTAAGGGAGTCTCATAAGGGACTGGTTTAGCCTACCTGATGATGAGGGGCCAGAAGAGAACGGAGACAGGTACACCAGCTGTAGGACAGTGAGAGGCATTTGGGACTTTCCGAGTGCATTAGCTAAATACAGCCACATGAGTGAGCCCGGCAAAACCAGCAAGGAACTGCCCAACCAACCCACAGAACAGTGAGACATAACATGTTGCTGTGTTGTAAGCCACCGGGTTGTGCAGTCATTTGTTTTATATAAACATTAAGTTCCGTTCATATTGAAGAATTCATTGAGAGGCCAAATGCAAGAAGGAAAGTTGCAAAAACTTCCTTGATTAAGGCTTTAGCTTGAAGGCCTTCCTTGCAGAAAAAAGAAAGCTGCTTTCTGGACTGGATTTGCGTTTCTCGTGAGACCCAGAAAACTTGCAGAGGAAGCAGTTCCTCCACCCATTGTGCAGGTGAGAATTACAAAGCAGAGAAGCAGCAATTAATGAGGCATGAAATGAGGGTCTTTCTTGGACGTTGCCTTTGAGTTCTTGGGAGGAAATAGGCTTTATTCATCCAAAGAATTATAGTTGAAAGTTGCTGAAAATATCATTGGCTTTGTTTCTTGAAGAGAACAAAGGGCTGTGTTTTCCCCCCACATTCCCAGGCCCTTGTCCAAGCCAAGGCAGAATTGCAGCCATCAGGCCAATGGGCTCCGCCTCTGAGATTGGAGTCAGGGTTAGAGGCCTCACCCAGGGGCGCCTTATTCTCAATGGATTGGCTGCTTGTGCGTCAGTTCCCACTCTTGTCCCCTTTGGATGCCATTTTTCACCATCCTCCACCTCTGTTCTACTCTTGCTTTGACACAGCAATGTTCTCTGCATAAGTCTCACACTCTTCCAAAAAAAAAAAAAAAAAAAATCCTAATTATGTCCAAGAAAAAATAATGAGGATAAAAGGCAAAAAAAGAGCTTCCTACTGTTTTTCTGTTATCATACAAGTGGGATTCCATACCCTACATAGACATGGTTCAGTCAAGTTAATGAGGTATTAGACT